ATATATAACAGCTTTAAATTTGAATGTTATTTATATACAGCTATATAATATGAGATAAAATACTTACAATTGAAATTCTAACTCACATTAATGATAATTTTATTTGCGTGAAAATTATAAAAAATAATTCTTAATTCTATTATTGAAGATTCTATTATTTCTATTATTTAAGACTATAGATTAGTAAAAAATGTTTTTTAGATATAAAATCCATATTTTAAATATATTTAAAAGTATTTTATTAATTGTAAGATAAAATAACTAAGGTAGCAATAGCAAATAATTGAGATTTTAATTGGCATTGAATAATTATATCTTTCAAGGCAGTTATTCAAGTTTAATTCGATATTCTAATTTTTCAACAATACAATGTTCACAAAATGTTTTGCAAATTAAAAACGAACATCTAAAAAGTATATATAAAAAAAGAATTTACGTTTAAAATAATGTAGATTATATACTCAGCAGTAACAGTTGTGCAAAATAGTTTCATATTCTAATGAAAAAACGTAAAATTTTATAGACGTGACATGTATAATTAAAATTATTTAAAGGCATATCTGCATGATAAAGTAATTTTTAATTATAGTTGCAGCGTATTGTAAAGAAGTCTATTTATTCATGAATGATGCGGAAGGACATCCCGTGCCTCGAATGAGATTATTCGTACAAATAACACAGTCATATCTGCTAGATATTTATCACGCCAGTACGCAAAAATAGTGCGTGGTATTGTGTATAAATATATGTTACACATATCGTGAAAAGACTATTATCACCCCTCAAGATAGATGAGCGTAGAACGACGATTCGCATTCGCGCGCACAGATTGAACCGAAACGCAGAAGTGGTCGGTTCGATCGATTAGGGAAAGTGCGAAATTTAATCGTGGATTGTCGGCCGATCGTTTTCGAACTACGTTCTCCGCGTCTTCGTCTCGCGTTCTTGTATATACCTTAAGATATCGCTGAACTAAATTCTCTCTTACAATTATGTTATAAGTCGTATTTAGTAGCTAGTATTACTTGTCCTCGTTACATCGACAGCTATAAAAACCTGTATTTCTCCTTTAAATTTGCATATGGATGTTCTTTTGATCGTGGATGCAAAGTAGTGCGTATAATAGTAGAATATTGTTGTGTGCTAATTCTAATTAGAATGATGAAAAAACTGAATAATATGAAATGTATTAGTTCGGAAGAAAACACTGTAATTTAAACAAATATGTCGTATATGCATTTATCTATTTTACATTCCTGGACCGCTTAAGCTTGAAACAGCATTTTTATAAACGTCTCAAACGAAAAATGAGTAAGTTTTGATGTTCACATATATTTCCCATTTTTTATCTCCGAGAATTTATATTTCTAATTATGATAGAGTAATTACACTGAAATAGATTAATTATATTATTTTTATCATTATTAAATTTATTTGTCCAGGCATTTAAATATTTTTCTATTAATTTTTTTCATAGTTTGTACTTGATGAGAAGAGAAAGCTATAAAAACGCTTTATGAGAAGAAAACTAAAATTGTTATAGAGTAAAAGTCATTAGTATGAGAAATAAAGAAAAGAAAAAAAATGTTATATTGTTTTAATAGATACAAGCGAATCTGCGCATTCGTAATTCTAAACTAGAACAGTCTCAATAGCATATACAATGTTTATTCATCATGAGATCGAAAAGCTCTTTCTCAATTAAATTGGAATGAGTCAAACTCTTTTTCCCAATCATACAAAAGCAAAATATCACAGATAAATATATCTTGCTATGTTATTAACAATCATTATGTAGGGAACACGCGAGTTTAGGAAAATGAAGCATTTGGTAATCGGTACCTGATATTACAGTATGATAGAACTTCATTTATCAAAAGAATATGTTTCTCTTGGGGGAGATCCCGTTTGCCTACAAATCGATTGCCTACGATTTGCCTACATCACTTTTGCCGACAGTTCGTTTGCACACAAAAATTGTCTACAGTTCGATTGCTTGCATGAACTAAAATTTTTTTTGTGTACAAAAATGCATGTAGGTGATCGAGCTATAGACAATAATTTTTGTGTGCAAACGAACTGTCGGCAAAAGTAATGTAGGCAATCGATACTGTAGGCAATCGATTTGTAGGCAAAAGTAACCATCTCGTTTCTCTTAGAAAAGAGAATTAAGAAAAAGTATACCAATATCTACAAATTTGGTAGTTCATAAATCTAAATTAAAATTAAAAGAAAACACGTATAGAAACGCGTAAAAAGGAATGCAAAATGGATGCAAAAGGTAAGGAATCAAACACAGATGATCTAATTAACATTAGAACTACCAAAGTATAAATCAAAATGAGTTTGTAACTTTTCTCAAATTTTTTGAATTGTAATTTTTTTCATATATTTTCTAAGATTTTCCGTGATTTTTGTTGCAATATAAATTATTAAATCGAGATCAATTTTTACTTTCCCCCCTAATCCTTTTTCAAAAATATATGTAATAATATAATTTAGACAATACAAATTATATGTTAATCTCGTTGCTGTAGTTTTGGTGTTAAACAATTTTAAGTTTAACGAAATAGATAAATCTCGTAGGTGTATGATATGCGCGAAAAAGGTTTAGATTCGTCAATTTTTCTTTGCAGAGAATTCATTTCAATAATGTAATAACATTGTTTTTATAGCCGCGATTCTACAAATAATATTTTAACGTATCTAAAAATCCATAAAATTCGCGCTTGTCGATTTCCCGCATGAAGTACAATGTAACGTAACTTGGGGTCATTTATTTTGAAATTGGTTTCGAAAAGCAAATAATTTAAGAATAGCATGATGTAAATTGAAAATTTTGTTTGGACGATATTTAAAATGTTTGACGCCAGTCTTTAATAAAAAGTGGAAGCTTAGCCGCATTATACATTAAATAGACTGCATGATTTTTTGCACTGTAAGGATTGAGACACAATGGAAGGAATACGAGAGCAAGGAATAACAGATTTCAACCTATCAGAAGCCGTATATTCCGATATCTATAATAGTTCTGATAAGTTGAAATTTATTATATTCCTTGTTTCTTTTATTTCTTTCATTATGTCTGAATCCTGACTCATTTGTTCAGTACATATATATATATATAATAATACCCGGTTATTAATTATAATTATCTGGCATATTTTCATGTTGGTGACGTCATTGAAGCGTTGGAGAAAAAAGAGCAAATAAAAAATAATTAAAGTAAAAATGAAAGCACTATATGTATTAAATGTGACTGATTATATTGTTCTGTCTCGTCTCATATTGCTTCGATAACGTCGAGGATATAATTGATTTCGAAGAAACACGCTTCTGATCTTTCTCGTTTTCCTCTTTTACACTGTCGCCCGCAAACGCGAGGAAATCGTGCACGAATCCTTTGGTTTTTCGACTAATCTATCAATATGTGACCGCGCTTATTAATCCTACTCTCCTTTGTTACCAGTTTCAGTATTTCAGTATAAAATATACACACTTACGGCTAGATATATGTATAATGTATATATATGTATATATACATGAGCGACGAAGAGGACAACATTGACATCAAAATTGACGTAGCGTACAAGTGGGACGTTATTATTCTCACCTTCGCTGAAACAGACATACATCGCATCTCACCTCCGGTTACGCCAGAGACGTTTCCTACTCCTCCACGTCTCTTCTCGCTTAAATATAATTCTGTTATAGATCGGGCAGTAGCACGACTTGTTGCGAATGCGTGTGCAGCGACGAAATGCCTATCAGCCTCCACGTAGAAGAATTGCAATGAATTGAAATGTATTGGAAACAAAAAGCCCACTTTACTGTATCTTCAGAACTTTCAGAAACCAATCAGCAAAATGTTAACAATTGCTTACAAATTGCTAGCAAATTCTATCAAACATTTCAACAAATTGACATCCGTATTAAGTTTGTGTTTTCCTGACAAAACTTGTTGACATAATAATGTGAAAATAAGTTGTCGGTAATGAGTAAATTGAGTAAAGGTCAGTTTTTACCGTCAATTTGCTGTGAGGTAGTCAACAAAACTTTGCATCCGTTTTGGCCGACAATTCGTTTTCAGCAAATTTTGTTGTACTATATATCTACTATTAATTTATTAATATCATTGAATATACAAGCAAAAGAACAAGTCACGTCAAAATGATATTGAAATAAATCGGAATTGAAAAATGACTTAATGATCATTTTGGAGTCATTTTGACATCATTTTGATATCATAATGACTTATTATTCTGCTTGGGTAACATTAAATTTGATGACAAAATTTTTGTAGCAAACATTTGATAAAATT